TCTTCTCTTCTCTTCTCTTCTCTCTCTTCTCTTCTCTTCTCTTCTCTTCTCTGCCACTTGGTCTGTCAAATATCCCCCGAGGCAGAGTCTTGGCTACTCTGAGATTGTCTTATGGCATTACAGGTCTCTTCGGAAGTTAATTAAGGAATGTTTCCTTCCTTCCTTCTAACCTTAATTTACTTTGCTTAATATTTATACCTTTTTTCTTCCAAGAAGTCACGTGTTCCAGAAACATTCTCTGTGGGCGTTTTATTACTAATTTTCTCTAATTAATATTTTGGAAGGGAGTGCACAGAGGTACCGACCAAAGATCACTCCGTGTTTACCTTCTCATCAATCATTCACTCAAGCTGTCAGCGCGATGCCTTCCAAAGGGGGTCATTTTTGCGCCAGGTCAGCTTGTGCCAAGATCACTGTTCGCTTGTCTTCATGCCTCTGATGAAGTGGGTTCCAGCCCACGAAAGCTGATGCCCACATAAATTTGTTAGTCTTTAAGGTGCCACAGGACTCCTCGTTGTTTTTGCTGAAACATACTAACACAGCTACCCCTCTGAAACATGTTTTTTTACACTTTCTTTACCTAGTGGGCTGGCATATTGACTAACTATTCCAAAGGGCGGTATTGAAACACACACAGAACAGAGCCAGCCAGTAAATTTCTACATCAATTGCCTGATGCTAAGAGAAGAATCCTGCTCCCAGAATCCTTTAGCAAATTCAGACATGTCAAGCCATACCACATTCATTCATAACAACCAAATCATACTAATTCAGCACCATCCCAACAGGTCTCATTGCAGGAGGATCAGCTTCACTCCCAGCCTGGATGGAACAGAATGGGACTCGGACCCAGAGTTACCTTATTTCATTGTCCCTGGCAAAGAGTTTCTGCTGCTTTTCTTCATGTCCCCTCCCCAATCAATTATTTTAGGGCAGCAGAAGTGAAACCCAGGAGCAGTGGGGCAGAGACTGGAGAGACAAATTCCTCAGTCTGTGCCAGTTGCAGCGATTGGTGCCAACACCACACTTCCCAAAGTGCTTGGCACAGCAGCACAGTTGAAGAGGGGAGAGATATGTGCACCCCATGCACAGGAGAAAGGAAAAACCGGTTTGGGACAGTTCCTGAGCTGGAAATTCCACCAAAGAAACTCAAAACGGGCAAAATGGAGGACATGTGCAAGGGGGAGGGGGAGAATTGCACCTGCTGACTGCAACAGCCCCCTCTCCACTTGCCCTCAGGTCCCTTTAGATCCCAGCTGAGCAAGGCCGTCCTTACTAATCCTGGTGCCCTACACAGCCCGAGCACCTGCACCAATGCTTGCAGATTGGGTAAAATGAGTTCCCTATGGAACCATCCTCTACTAATGACCAATTGACAAGGCAGCCGTCAGACCTTAAGAATATCGTTAAGGATGTGAGCATGTACTTGTGAATGTCTGGGTGGTCACTATCCTTGGTCTTTGTGTGTTCCTAGAGGCTCTAAATCTGAAACATGTAGCAGAAGCGACTTTCACTCTAGGGTGACCAGATGTC